CCAGTGAACTGAAAAGTAAGCAGAAAGTTGAAAAGAGAGGGGGAGTGGGGGCCAGGAACCCACTGGTGTTTATGAGCCTGTCACACAAAGCAGCAGTAGAGAGGCCGGGACGTCCCACCAGCCAGAGACCCCGCTCCAGGCTCATGCCTGGGTAAATATGGATCTTATCCTGCAATTCCCAGAGCTCAGGGGTCAGGCGAATTCTTCGGCCTGGGAGCAGAGTTAGGACACACAGAGCATTTCTCTCCCTTCCCCGGATGAGGAACAACAGAGCCTGACGCACGGGCACCCCTCAACTCAAATGAGCGTCTCCTGGATCCGGGAGCAAGGCGAGAAGCCACACTGGGAGTTTCCCACAGGGTGCTGCCAGGGGATCTCATTCCCCAGCCGCACCGCCCCAGGCTGCAGCCAGGGTGCAAGAACAAGAGGGCAGAAATGGTTACAGTCTCTGATTGAGGGAGCCCGAGCCGGGAGGGCTTTCCGGCAGGCCAAGACGGAGGGAGCCGGTGGAGTAAGGCACACACATCCCTCTCAGCAGGCACAGATGCCGTCAGGGGCACAGATGTCGAAATGTCACGGATCTCATTAGTACTTACACAGGGACACGCAGACAACACTTAATTCTTGCATTTTGGGGAACCAGAACGTAACACGATTTAAAGAGTTAAAGTTACTGTGACAGTGCATCCGAGCAAAAACTGATCACTTGCTGGTTAGAGGCTGGAAACCCATTCTAGAGTCTCAGAGTGCCCTACATCCTACGGGAAGGGAGACTCAAGTTCTTCTGGGGGCATATCTTCCATTTGTCCTGGTGCCAAAAATGTCAGTTTTCAGTTCAGTGTGAAGATGGCTCCACAGGAAACTCAGGTTAAACATGGCTACGGGATGTATTTCGGCAGACAAGCTTTGCCGCAGATCTGGGTATCTGCAAGGGAGAACTGTTTCTCCTCTGTACATATTTACAGCATCTGAGCGTCATGTAATTGTCTTCCGGAGAAGGCATCCTCCTTTGTGTTCAGCTCAGGAGTTGTTCACTGGAGACCAGAAGCAAAGACCCAATGGCTTCAGGAAATAGACACAAACATGTTCTTCACCTTGGACCCAAGGAGCGATTGGGAGAGGGAACTGGGCATGTCTTCCTGCAGCTCCATGGAGAAGGACCTGTCACTAACACACAGACACCCCATCCCTCCGCACTGCTATTTGACACTGGGTATCTCAGGCTTGGGGACACATGGATTTTGCATTCCCATGGACTGGCATCTGGGTACCACAGAGCCAGGACAAATCCTGTGGGTAGGGGCCTCCGTGGCTATTGTAGTAGCAAACTTTTGTGCAAATTTCAAGAAAGCATGCAGGGGAGAGAGGTGAAATTCTAAAAGGTGCTTCTACCAGACAGATACATTTTAAAAAGCACCCCATCGAAGCAGACAAATTACAGAACGGAAGCTCCACTTTGGGCTAAGGGATCATGAAACAGGCCCTTCTCCTCCGGGAGTCAGGACTTGGTTTGGTTGGCAGACACCAGTCCAACCTTTCTCCTTTCTCCTGGGACTGCTCCCTCTGGGCACGTGAGCGAATGGACCGGAAGCCAGGCGGCTTGTGCACTCACAGAAAGGAAAGACCCTCTTTTGGTGACTTTTTTTTATAAACATCCATTAATTTTCCAACTATGAGGGAAAGGCTCCAAAATAATCCCAGGGGATTGGTTCTTCTGGCAAAATCACTCAGTGATCTGGATCTAAAACTTTTCCATCATCTTGGCTACTACCACATAATTCCATTAGTTAATAATCACTTCTCTGAGCTCCTATACTTAGTACGAATCTGAAATCTCAATTTGAAAACGTCCACGTGGTGGTTCTCATTGTTCGCTGGGAAGTTTCCTGTGAGAAACGCCATCCGAGTGAGAAGAAGCTACATAATTATCATGCTGGGAAGGACGGAGGACCAAGCTGCACGGACCTTTCGGTTCTACCTGTCAACCTACATAGGTCTCATGGGCAGAAGTGGAAGAGGCCGACCATGTTCATGGATTAGCAGACTAAACATAGCAAATGTCAACCCCTCCCCTCGATTAATATATAGGTTTAATGCAATTCCTATCAAGATCCCAGCAAGATTTTTGTAGTCAGATTATTCTAAAATGTATTTGGAAAGGCAAATGAACTAAAATTACTCACACAATTGTTTAAAAAGAAGAATAAAATGAGAAGAATCAGTCTATTTGATTTTAAGACTAATTGTACAGCCATCATAATGAACATTCTATTGGTGGAGTAGAACATAAAATTCAGAAATAGACTCACAAAACTATACCCATCTGAGTTTTGACAAGTGTAGAAGCAATTCAAAAACAGGAAGGTAGCCTTTTTTTCAAATGGTGCTAGAGCAACTGGAAATCCATAGGCAAAAGGAAGGAGGAAGGAAGGAAGGAAGGAAGGAAGGAAGGAAGGAAGGAAGGAAGGAGGGAGGGAGGGAGGGAGGGAGGGAGGGAGGGAGGGAATGAATCTCTACCTAAGTCTCACACTTTATACAAAAATTAACTCAAAATAGATCATACACTCAGATATGAAACCTCTAAGGAGGGGTTGGGGGCAGGAAGGACACGGTGTGACCACGAAAGGACAACATGAAGGACCTGGATGGAAAGGCTGGGCACTGTGACTGTGTTGACGTCAGCATCCTGGCCATGATACTGGGGTGCTGGGAAAAGAGTTGGGACCTCTCTGTTTTAGGTCCGACCCCTGCGAGTCTACGGCTATCTCAAATTAAAAGTTTAACTTAAAAAAATCAAAAAATAATCTCTCTGTCAAAATTCTAGTCCAAAGTCGAGCACAAAACAAGAAAGGGAGTCTCAGCGCCAGACGGGGACGGAAAGCAGAGGTGAGCGGGGGCGGAGGCCGAAGGTCCCGGAGAGCCAGGCCCGTCACTCAGAGGAGGGATCAGGACTGAAACCCCAACAAGGGCTGGAACTGGAGCCGGGTTTAGAACAGAGCCAAGAACCTGATTTATTTTAATCAAGCTTGAGCTGAGAAAGATGCCCCCTGATTGTAAACAGAAACTTAAAATATTTTTTCCTGACTTAGGTATACACTCTAGGTAGTGGGTACCTAAACCAAGCCCTTGGTGGAAGTGGGGTACCCTATAGTGAGTCTGAACCCCAATCCTGTATCATACCTAAGTGTGGAGTTACACTATCCTCCTAACACACAAATCTAAACAAACCAACAACAAACAAACCTAGAACAGATCCTAGGACTCCTAAGCCACCCGGGATCCCCACAGGTCACAGCGCCCACTGAGGATGACCTCCGAGTCTAACCGATCGAAGAGCAGAGTCTCCTTCAGAGAAGTGAGGCTGGGACACATCAATTAAACTGTTCAAAAGAAACACATTCCGCCCTGGTGGGTGCGGCTCAGTTGGTTGTACACTGAAAGGTTGCCGGTTTGATTCCCAGTCAGGGCACATGCCCGGTTGTGACTCAATCCCCAGTAAGGGGTGTGCAGGAGGCAACTGATTGATGTTTCTCTCTCACATCAATGTTTCTCTCCTCTCTCCCTCCCTTTCTCTCTCTCTAAACAATAAAAATAAAAATAAATCAATAAAAATATTTTTTAAAAAGAAACGAATCCCATAGCTTCAGAGTTCTACAAGTGTGGAGGGGAAGGGCGATGAGAATGGCTGGGATGGACAGACGGAGGGCTGCCAGGCTGGGCACATGGGCTAACTCAGGCTGAAAGCAGCCTCTGGGGCAGGGACAGAGCCAGGCGAGAGGATATAAATGGAGGAAGGTGGTCCCCCCACAGCGTGTCGTGGGTGACCTTTCTTGGCCTTCAGTTTGCAAGCATCTGAGTCTGCTCCAGCAGAGACTAAATGAACTTCAAATTAGAGACAACTCCAAGAGAACACAGCCTCCAACATTAGGATGACCACATCTGAAGCAAAAAGTATGCCAGCCCTGAGCCATAGAAATGAGAAGCAGATGTCCCCTTGCACAGGACAGTGTTTCCTTCCTCAGAAAGTCGTCCCAGATGCCAGTCAGAGCTGGGAGGCTTGGAGCCAGCCTATCTTAAGCCTGCCATCCTACGAATCTGAGTGTGGGGTCATCCCTAGGTGAAAGGCAAGATAAATATGCTGCAGATCAGACCCCAGACAAGTGAGGAGGAAAAATCAGACACCAGTCCAACCATTACCTTTTTGACTAGACCACTCTAGGTGAGCACTGGCGAATGATGGCACAGGGCAGACGACCTTGAAGCCAGCCAGTGTGTGTGCTCACAGAAAGGAAAGAAACTCATTTGGCTGTAGTGTCTTTTTTCAATTACATGTATTGGGTGACAATGATTAATAGGGTCACATAGGTTTCAAGTGTACATTACTATGACACATGATCTGTATACTGTATTGTGTACCCACCTCCCCTGGTCAAATAATCTTCCGTCTTGGTGCCTTTTTTATAAACATCCATTAATTGTCTAATAATATGTCAAAGGCTCCCAAACAATCCCAGTAGATTGGTTCTTCTGGCAAAAATCATTCAATGATTTGGATCTAAAAACTTTCCCTCATCTTGGCTACCACCGCATAATTCTGTTAGTTAATATTTGCTCTTGGAGCTCCTGAATTTAGTGTGAATCTGAAATCTGAATGCGAACATGCTCAGTGGGTGGTTCCCGCCGCTTGCTAGGGCCACTTGAGGTTGAAAAGGTCCCATCATTCTATTCTACTCCCAAGCCTGGGAGCAATTGAGAGCAGCGAGTCTGAACCCCGGCCACAGGCTGGAGTCACCTGCTACTTTAGGGTCCTTACTCTCCTCACCACCCAGATTCATTGACTTTTAACTTGATTCGCTTTCTCTTGAACCCATCTGGAGGCCCACGTACAGTGCTCAGCTCGCATGTGTTGAATGCACCTGTGAACCCACTGGCGGTGGGCGTGCAGGTGGAGATCCAGGGGTGTGGGGACAGGGGAGGGAGGTGACGGAGCCAGCACTCACCAGTCCGTGGCAGGAGCTGAGGGCTGCCCTCCCGATGCTGGCACCCTGCTGCAGCACGGTGCCCCTGAGATGGCAGGGAGGGGCGGAGGAGGCCACCATCGTAACATGGGAGAGGTTCCCATACCTTCTCTCCACGATGTAGCTTTCGGAAAGAAATCCCTGATTGACCGTCAAGTTAAAAAACAGGTCCTTGTCCTGATGGGAGAGTCTGTAGTACACCCGGTCCTCTGGGCCATCCAAGTCCCTCTTCCTCCTCCTGCTGGTGAAGGGCTGGTGCAAGTCATAGGACAGAAAATGCCCGCGGGCATCCACTCGGACGGGTGCCACCACGTGGTACTCTGGCAGGGCCTTGATGAAATGCTCTGGGGGGAGAAGGAGACAGGATGAAACAGAGATCCCTGCTAAGTCTAGCATGGCAAATGCACTTCTGTTTGGAACTCAGAGTTCAGCTTGTTGATTGCAAAACCCCACTTGGCTGGAAGTTCCGAGATGCTTTCCACCATGCAAATACGGTCCACATTAAACTCCCCGAGCAGCCGGCACGGTGCCCCTCCTCGAGGGCTGGCACCTCCTGAGCTGGCACTAAGGCGTAGCTCTGGACGGCAGATGCTTACCGCAGACAAATTAAGGCTACAATTAATTCAGGAGGAGTACTCCTAGGCAAAAGGCAAGATCAGTATGACGAACGGGAACGTCTCAAGTCTCGAGTTCATTACTATAAATCATAGCATTCGCTGTGCATTAAGGAGTTTAACACCTTGGGAGCGTTCTGTTACATCGAGTTGAAGAAAAAACTGTAAAAATACAGCAAAACATCATACACACTCTGACGAACCTCACACCAATTACAGCATGAGGGGTCCATGATGTAGCAAGGAGTATTTAAAGCAGCGGTTCTCCACCTGTGGGTCGCGACCCCTTTGGGGGTCGAATGACCCTTTCACAGGGGTCACCTAAGTCCATCGGAAAACATATTTCCATTTTCCGATGGTCTTAGGAACCGAGACACTGCTGCTCTATCCGTCTCCAGGCGAATCTGCCACATGCACACGCCCACATACAACATGAGGAACTGTATGTATTACAGGGTCGAGGCACTAGGAAGGTTGAGAACCACTGGGGAATTTGGGCGTTTCTTTTTTATTTTCACAAAATGAAAGGGGAAGCGAGCCTATGAGGATCGGAGGCATGGGCACACAATGTGAGAACTGCCCTCTAGCAGTGCAGAGCAGAACGCCCATTCCTCCCATACACAAGAACACCGCATCTTTTGACTCACACTTAGATCCCACCACTGCCTCCTTATTCTGATGCCTGAGAATAACAAGGAATCTAACTATTAGGGAGTAAATCTCACTCTGGATTAAAGACTACTCAAAGCAACCCATGAATACTTAGTAAACTAAACTAATCTTTTGCTTGAGACAAAAAAAAGTAGAAAAAAAAAAACAAGAAGGAAGGAAGGAAGGAAGGAGAGAGAAAGGGAGGGAGGGAGGGAGGGAGGGAAGGAGGGAAGGAGGGAGGGAGGGAGGGAGGGAGGGAGGAAGGGAAAAAGGGAAGGAAGGGCGGAAAGAAGGGGGAAGGAAGGAGGAGGAAGGGGGAGGAAGGGGAGAAGAAAGGAAGGAAGGAAGGAGGAAGGAAGGAGGAAGGGAAGGAAGGAAGAAGGGAAGGGAAGGGGGAAGGAAGGGGGAAAGAAAGGGGGGGAAGAGGGGGGAAGGAAGGGGTAAAAGGAGGGAGAGAAGGAAGGAGGGAGAGAGGGAAGGAGGGAAGGAAGGTTCTACTTGCCACCTCACAGCTGTATTTGAACTTTCTAACTTGTATTACTTTGCTCATGTCACTTCCCCAGCTACTTACTGTGCTGTTCACACTCTATCTATATCCTGTTTATTCCTGTTCATGCTTTGAAGCCCCAACTCCAACCCTTTGTCTTCCTTCTCCTATTGTCCCTGGTTGAAGTTCTCTCTGCCACCTCTGGACCACCACGGCCTTCTTGTCTGTTGCTCCTCCTGTTACAACACCTTTTGTTTGTTATACTGTTTACCCCATAGCCTTTGGAGGCCGGACCCTTGCACGGCACAGCATGAATGGAGCAGTGAGCACATCTGCAGCTGGTTAATTAAAAGAACTGGACCTGATGGGCTACAATGATAAAAAACCTTTTCCCCAGACAACTGCCTTCAAACACACTCTGTAGAGAGCATCACCTCCACCGTGGCTGAAATCGGAGACAGAGCACAGTTTCACTCTCAGATACTAACAAACTGTCTCGATTTTTAGGTGTAAAATGTCCAGACCCACTGCATCCAACTGCAGCAGTTAGGAGGAACAGACCACGTAGTAACATGGGCAGATCTTCAAAACGATGCTCAATGAAAAACACAAAACAAAACCCATTAACACAGAGCCACTGACATCCATGGAAAATACATGCACACAGAAACAATGCTACAGAGTTTGCCAGGACAGACGCAAGCAAAAAACACATATGGAATCCATCAAAATGGGTTTCTACAGGAATAATGAAAGTGGGGTGTGGGGACAAAAATGCATAGAAAAATAAAACAAGAAAGGGGTTTTGCACAAATCAGTGATGCTACTATGCCAAGAACTGGGAGTCCAATTAACTCAGTCCTCGGCCCCGCCCACTCCCCCCCCACCCCCACCCCGGGAATATCCCTGCCCTTCCAAGTTCAGATGCAGGAGAGGAATGGCCAGGGTGTGTGAGGTGGACGTGGTCGGCTTATGTCATAATTCTCCTGAGCTTCTCTCCTCTTCTACTACTGGTAATGATGCCTCTGGCTCCCCCCGGGGTGAGCGCAGTGGAGGGGAGGTGGAGGCAGGAAAAGTCTCATTCAACTGAGTGTAGCCCTCATCAGGCAACTGTCCCCCGTGTGTGGGCTCAGTGTCCAGAGGCTGACTCCCCCTCTCCGGAGCAGATCTTGAAACAGAATTTTTGAAAGTATAAATGAAAGGCGAAAGCTCCTATTGCCCAAAGAATAAAAGAGCAAACAAATGTATAGCTTTTGACCAAGTTGCTTTTAACCTAAAGGGTTTTGTTTTGAGAGCCAGCATGAGGTGGCTGTACAATAATTTAATAACAATCATCATAGCCATTGAATGAGCACTTGCTATAAGCCAGGTACCCTAAGTCTCTGCTCATTCGATACTCAACCCCATGATACCGAGTATTACCCCCGCTTCATAGGTAAAGAGGCTGAGTCTAAGGAGGGCACAAGCCAAAGCCACTGTGGAACATCACTTGGATGAAAACCTCGTGCTTCCTACTTCAAAATCATGCTCTTGCCACCATACTTCTGTGCATATTCGCCGTTGCACTTGGCAGAGAATATAACGTAGAGGTAATAGCACTGGCCTGGCAATGCTGATCCACAAGCAAAGAACTGCCCGACTTCTTCGAGAGGCCTCCGCTTGCTCAGCAGTAAGTGGAGATAAGAGTTGCCTCTTCGTCAGGCAGAGTAATGGGAGATAAGACAGGCTTTGCCTCTTGATGTCCTTGCAAAGAAGGCAACCAAGCCAGGTCTGCCCACAGGCGAGGCTGGAAATAGGAGGCCATGGACAGAATGTGCTTAATGTTGGTGACCCGACTCCATCTGCCTCATGCATGCCCTGGGCATGACAACAGTATCTACCTCCCAGCGTGGTGTGAGGATCCAACGTGCTAATATAGGCGATAGACGAATAGATGTAGAACAGCGCCTGCGTAGCGCTCACTGGCTATCACTGGTACTAAAGACAGAGACGGCCACCAGTGATCTCTGTGGCCATAAATACAGGTAACTTCCAAGCAGAGAGAGGGGAGAAGCCCCCACTCACCTCGGCTTCCTCTCAGTGGGAGTTTCGTTTGGAAGACCAGGTAGCTCTAACCGTGGTCAATAGAAAGCAGAGTTCAGAGGGACTGCGATAGGGATGGAGAAAGAAGATGTCAGGAAATAACAACAGCTCCTAACTTTTACCATCTCTATGGCCAAGCAGCACAGCATTGAGACTACACCAACTTGATTGTGTCCAATGCTCCCAGTTCTAAGGGGTAGGTCTTATTTCTTTTGGTTTTGGTTATTGTTTTTTTTTAATTCTCACCCAAGGATATTTTTCCATTTACCATCAGATAGAGTGGGAGGGAAGGAGAGAGAGAGAAACATTGATGTGAGAGAGACACATCAAGTGGTTGCCTCCTGCACAACCCAACCGAGGTCCATGCGCTTAACCAGAATCAAACCTGCAACTCATTGGTTCGCAGGCCGGTGCTCTAACTGCTGAGCCAAACCGGCCAGGGCTAAGGGGTAGGTATTATTAATAGCATCCCTTGTCTTAGTCTCCATTCCCACCTCTTTAAAAATAATAAGAGGAGTGAGGATTTGTGCTGGGCAGCCTGACCCCAGAGCCCACCCTTCTAAGCTAAGCCCTGACTGCTTCTCGGGGGTCTACCGCCGAGCACCAGATGTCAAGGCTGGGGGGAGGGGGGAGCTGAGACAGCAGTGACATCACAGTCTGCACTAGGGTTTATGAAATGAAATGATAAGCCCTGAACACTTCGATTTGCCGTGTTTCAAATTCAGTTTGAAGCCACACATTCTGAGACTTCGTGAGAACTGCGTGAAGCCTGTGGACACAAGCAAAACACTGACTGGTCTTCCACCTCTGCTCCAAGAAAGGACAGGTGAGCGCAGGCACCCACCGGTTTTTATATATTTGAGGTTGTATCTAGGATGATTCTTCATATTTATTTCTATCTTTGAGAGCAACTGAATTTCTAAGACTCCTCACGGAAAGGGGCGATGAAATTCCTACAATGGAAGTTTATTTCCGTAATTATCTTCCACAGATTGTTTTAACCTTTCCATTGTATTTTTATTATAGAAAACCACTTGTGTGGTAACACCGTGAAGACTCGTACTAGTCCCCTCAGAGTTGTAAAATACACCACAGGAGGTTGATCTGCTCACCAACGCCATGATTAACCTGCGGAGCATAATTGCTCATGACTGTGCACACACATAAAATATCAAAACTGTGAAGTCTCATCTTACATCAAGAAAATACCCCACATCATTGTCTTCTTGCAGCATTGGTGTTTTGCAAATGGCACAAGTGCATGATTATAACATGTGTTGAAACATAGGGCAACATTCCACACTCTTGCACAAATCTGCACAGCCCGGGGCAGGTCTCCAACATGGGACCAAGTGCTCACCCCACTGATTCCATGGGGCTGTCGGGAGCAAGAGAGGTAACAGAAGTGACGGGGACTTGTAAACAGTCCCAGGAACAACACACCTGAGGGGACAGCTCTGTCTAGAGAGAGCGGTGTGTACAAGGCAAACACTTCCCATGTTCGATCCTCGGCTGGGAGCCCATGGAAGTCATTGCACAACTGAGCAATGTGGAAAGTATACTGAGCAAAGTTTGTCAAGTCTGCCTGTTTCTAGTCCCAGAAAGGATCGGATTTATCTCCACACTCCGTCCTTGGTCTAAAATTCTGACTCTGCTCGACCGTTAGACCTAGAAGAAACCTTAGCAGTTACCTAAGTTCTGAATGAGTTTCTAGCTATGGGACCCCCCACCCCACCCCACCCCACCCCTGCCCCAGTGAAATAGCAGATGGCAGGTGCTCAGTGAATCCTTGTGGACCAACAGACTGACCACCTAGACTGCCCATTCCTCATCTGGGCAGTGGGAGAGGGGTGGGAGAGGTGATATCTAAAGTAATTTGTCAGTTTAAATGTTCAGAATTTGGGTGCGATTCAGAACTGTTGTCGGAGTTCCAGTGGAAGTCTAAGGAGACCGGCTCATCCGGACGCAAACCCAGGTCATCCTACGCCTAGGAAGACTCAAAATGTCCGTGTCCGCCTAGTTTGCCCTCTCAACTTAGTCCCAAATGAAACTCTGCTCAGAAATTTCTCTTTTGCCTAAAATGTAGATGAAAGACAAATATTTTGGTGAAAAGTCTTTTAAAATCTGATTTTTTTTTTTTAGTACCTACACATCGCTAATAAGCTCGGAGCGTTTGACAGCTATTTTCCAATGTCAGACTCTCTGTGCATGTAACCCAAAAGGTGACCAGGGTGACCAGAGAGCAGAAAGTGAGGCCCTGGGCTGTGTGCTCCACACTCGGCTGAATTCCCTCACAAAGAAGACAGAGCGGGCAGAGCTGCAGCCAGCCCAGGAGAATGTGTGTCTTTGAACCAAGCCATCTCCAAGTGCCCTGGGAAGGGCTCGGAGGCTTTGTTTGTGCTGCCACAGAAGAGAGACTTTTCACAAAAGAGCTGTTTTTCAAAGAACAACAAACGCTGCTATTTTAAACTTGGGGGTAGGAGATTGTATCTGGACCGTTTACACAAGCGAGTGCTGGCTGCCTGACATCCAACCCCAGGGCCACAGGCTCCAGCTTCCAAAGAAAGCAGAGACTGGTTTCTGCTGCCTCTCGAAGGCTCGGCAGGTGAGCGCTCCCGCAGTTCTGAGCTCTGCAACGCAGGCAGAAATCCCTGAGTGGAAATCCTGGGAAGGGTGGGCTGGAGAAGTCTGCCACCCAACTGGTCTTGGGGATCAAAGGGAAGCTATGGAAACTTCCCAAGACTTGAACACAGTCAGCAGACAGGACTTAGTGGACGCTGAGCCAGCGAGTGCTCCGCGCCTGTGTGTGCATGTCTGTCACTGCTATTGGGCAATGCTGCTTGATGGTAAGATGCCAGCCTCTGGCGCCAGGCAACCTCACCGCACCACTAGCCGGCCCATAAACTCTCCACGTGTCAGGTGCCTCGTGGATAAAACGGAGACAGCAAAGATGGTCCCTGCATCTGGGAGGCTGTCGTGGGTGGTCGATGGGAGGACACACACGGGGTGCTGGTGCACGGAACACCCTGTTTTCTCCCAGAGGCCGTGAACTCCCCACCAAACCGGAAAGTGTCTCTGAGCCTTCCAAGTCCAGTAAAACAGCAGTACTACCTTCTAGGGTGTTAGGTTTAAAACTAATTCACAGCAACAACAAATGGTCTATCACAACTGCTCCAGTGCTCTCTGTGGCCTTAGGAGCTTCACAAAATGCAGAAAGAGACGCAGCTGGCTGTGATCGGGAAGGCAGGCCCCCGGAAAGGTGAGCCCCCAAGGTGGTAAATTTTCCCCAAAAGAACTGTTATTTTAAAGCGCAGCCCTAAATCTTTCCAGGAAACCAAAACACAGCCAAGCTCACCCAGCAGGGGGGCGGAATCACATTTCCCTTTCCAGACCAGCGTTTAAAACACATGAGAAACGCTGCAACGTCTGCCAGGGGCCAGCTGGAACTTTTATAAAAAAAAATCATTTTCCGTGTTCAGAATCTGAAAAGTAGGGGCTGAAACAGGGCGGCTTTACCCACACAAAAGAGAGAAGTGGGGGTGACCATCTACCTCTGGAGCCCTGGCTGCAGCTGCAGCAGGAACTCAGCTTTCAGTGCGAATTAAGGAATCACCACCTGGACACTGGATTCCGAGAGCTCCCAGCTCCGAGGTCCTCACACCCGCGGAAGGCTCTGCAGAGTTCAGCCGCGAGGGGGAGGGAAAAGGGAGCCCCCAACTTTGCACACGTTGTACCAGTAGGGTTTTCAAAGGAAAGAAAGAAAAGCCACCAACCTTGCCTCCTGTCGGGGAAGCGCACCTGGCCGGGCTGCGGGGATCCCCCATAGCACAGGCCCCCAAAGTTCAGGAGCTGAGCCACCACCGAGAGGTTTGCAAGCCAGCTCCTCCGGGCACATGGCATGATTCGGTTGTTGGGGAGAAGAAAGGTCACCAAGTTTTAGCTCTCCGCGTCAGAAACGGAGTCCTCGCCCGTGGCCGTGCGGGGAGACGCCGGGCGCATGGTCCGGGAGCGGCGCGGGAGCGGCGGCAGGGCTGCCCAGGTCGCCCTTCGCTTTTTTAAGCAGAAAGGGGCTAGTTACCTTGATTTCCCCTCCCTCCTCCTGAAAGGGGAGTGATTTCAGCTGACAGCGTCTGTTGGGTGCGGGGTGTGGAATGGCCGGGGCGGAGGGCGCAGCCCACCCCAGATCCCCACCCCTCCTCCTCCCGCGCCCGGCCTCGCAGCCAGCTCTGCGCATCTTCCTCCGGGACTCCCACCCCCGCGCTCCTCCGGCCCCGCCCAGAGCCGGGGCGAGCCGGCCAAATAGGGGAGCCCCGCGGGAGCCACCCTGGGCGGGACTCCTCGAGAGGCCGCGGGCCAGCCCCTCACCAGGCCGAAACAGGCAGAAGATGTGGAGTACAGCGCTGGGTCCCAGGCACCCCATTCCCCCACCTTCCCCAGCTCAGTGCTGCCCCCTTCCCTGCCTTCGTCTTCCCAGTTGGCGAACTTCTAGCATTGCTCACTCCACCGAGACTCCTTAGCTGGTCAGACTGCTCTGGGCTCCTCTTCCAGGGCAGGCGAGGACTCCCATTTGAAAAAATTAATACGTAACTTTTCTCTTTGCCAAGGGAAGCGGTCTGAGCTAATCTGCTAGTTTGACCTTGGACAAGTCCCTTCCTCTGTGCAAAAGGTGATCTGAACAAGTGATATGAGGCACTCCGAGTCTGCAGGTCTCTCTGGTGCTTTCTGCCTTTATACCCCCACCCTCCCTAGCCCATCTCCACTCGCCCAAAAGGAAGCCAGGAGGGTAGAGGAACAAGTCAGCCCAAGAAGGCATCAGTCTTTCTCCAGTGCCCCTGAGCAGGCTGCCCAGGGAGGGAGCGTCTCTTCACATCACTGGGAGAATGCCACAAAGCAGGGAGCTTGCCAGGCATCCTGGGAATTTACCGGGATAATCCAGCCAAGATTTTGCGCCTCTGGACTTAAACAGGCCTCCTTACTCCATTCAGGGGGAATTTGGCCCCGTGTTGTTCTCCATGGCGTCCAGCCAACCATATGTGTTCAGCAGGATGTTCAGGATATCAGTGCCTCTAACCATGCCCAGGGCGGCGGCCCAGGCAAAGCAGTGAGCTATGCGCAAGGTGGTCCTCAGGGGCCTGGGTGGAGAGCCTGCAGAACTTCAGATGGAATGCATACACACCACAGCACTTCAAGGGATATGTGTTAGTTTCCTATGGCTGCCATTACAAAGTCCCATGAATTTGGCAACTTCAAACAACGCAATGTGTTATCTTACAGTTCTGGAGGTCAGAAGGCTGACCTGGGTCTCGCTGGGCTAAAATCAAGGAGATGTTAGCACAGCTGCTCTGCTTTCTGAAGTCTCCAGGGAAGAACCGGTTGTCTTGCCTTTGCCGTCTTCTGAGGTTGCCCTGCCTCATTCTTTGGTTCATGGCCCTCTTTGCCCATTTTCAAAGCCAGCAATGCCAGCTGAGTCTCTCATGTCACATTACCCTGTCACTATCCCTTTTCCCTCCCTTTCCACTTCTAAGGACCCCTGTGGTTACATTGGGCCACCAGGATCAACCAGGGTAATCCCCTCATCTTAAAGTGAGCTCATCAGCAACCTTAATTCCAGCTGCAGCCTTTATCCCCAACATGTAATATAACATCTTATGCAATGTCATCATGGGCCATTCATAAAATGGCTGGAAAAGGCAAGAAAATCAGTAAGGTAGGAAATCAAAACTGTGTGCTACCTGATAGGCTTCTAGGAGAAGGACAGGCATCTCTGTGGAATCTCTGCCAACGATGCACAGCCCGTCTCGGAGCGAGGAAACAGCAGGCAAAGGGAAACTGAGGGAGAGTCTACAAACAACTGGCTTTTTCTCTTCCAAAGGCCATGAAAGTCAAAGGAAAACTATTCCAGGTGAAAGGAGACGGAGAAGATGTGACAAGTCAGTGCAGCCTGAAATCAGATCCTTTGTTACAAAGGACATTGTTGGAACAATTAGTGAAACTTGAAAGGAGAGAGGGGATTGCAGGGTCTTACGATATCCCTGCGAATTTCCTGATGATGATGTTGTGATTATGTAGAAGTCATTGTGTGTCAGAGATACAATTACAGTGTTTGAAGGGGTGGGGCATCTCATTGACAACTTGCTCCCAAATGATTCAGAACACAGAATGTTCTTTTTTTTTTTTTTTTTAACTTCCCTTCCAGCTTTTCTGTAAATCAGAAATTGTTCTACATTTTAAAAAATCATAGAGTGTAACAGTCTGTTCTCATTCTTTAAAGTAATTTAACACTTGGCGGAGGTGCTATAGAATTGGAAATTAGAGATGCCTAACGATGAGAAGTTAGCAGACCATGAACTGTTCATGTTTGATGCTCTCTGAGCTCCCAAGCTGACAGCTGTGGATGTCACCATTAGCAGACTTGTCCTCTATTGGTCCTGAAACACATGGCCACCAGCCCCTTTATTTTATTCTGCCTTAAAGATTAAGTCTGAATTTAAGAAGAGTGCCATCTATTGTTCCCAGGGAGAGGAAGAAATTGGAGATGACATGCATCACGGAAATTTGGAATGCTACTGCCTTAGCAAAAAGAGAATACTTCATTCATTCATTCGACAATGGTTATTGACTGCCTATTATGTCGACACGTTAGAAATGTAGCAATGAACAAACGAGTCAAAGTCTCTTTCCTCATGCTTGCACAGGCTCTAGTTTGGGTTGTGGGAGACAGAGGAATAGAGAGAAACAAACAAGTAAATATGTGATATGTAAGATGGTGATGAGAACAGTGGAGAACCATGAGCAGGCTAACGAGGCAGGGAGTGCTTGAGAGGGTGAGCTCCTGTTTTACAGAAGGGGTTATTTTTAAAAGAGTTATTCGCTTGCTCAAACTGGAGGTAAGGGCGCAAAAGGAGTCCTGGCTCTACATACTCAGCTGCTGAAAGAAAACAAAGAGAGAGAACAGTAACTCCACTCACGAGTACATGCAGCTCAATCAGTGTCCATGAAATTTGACCTGATTAGAGATCCTCACATGGAGGGTGGGGAGGAAGGGATGAACGTACCAAGGAATGTTCACAACCCTAGTTTACCCCACTCTTCATATTTTCTTAACCTATTGAGCTCAGCCGGAGCCTGGGAGTAGCCTGGGTTGGGGTTCTCCTCCCTAGAGGAGCAGACGAGCTGAGTGTCAAGGTCCTGCTCTGGTCCCAGGGGACCACTGCCCTGATATTTATCACTGCTCGTTGGTATCCCCCAGGATCATTGAGACCAGAACATCAGCTGTGCCCCAAGAAACTCTGAAGTGGGTAAAAGAGATTACTTCAGGTAGCAAGAAAGATTTACCATAATAGTACCCACTTTTTTTTCTTTAGTGCCACTGAGGTATAACTGACATGCAATAAGCTGCATGTTTAAAGTCGCAATTTTATATGTTGATGTATATACGCCTGTGAAACCATCACCACCACAAGTGTATCATGCATGTGTGTGTGCATGTGTGAGCGTGTCAAACCGAAGCTTCCTCCTGCCCCTACTGGATCACCCCCAACCACAGATGGCTGCTGTCCTGCTTTCTGTCACAGGAAACTAGTTCAAATTTCTAGAATTTTCTATAAATAGAGTCATACAGTGTGTACTCACTTTTATCTGCCTTTTTTCACTCAGCATTATTATTTGAGATTCATGGATGTTTTGTTTGTCAGCATTTTGCTCCTTCTTATTTCTGCTCCTTCTTATTTCTGCTCCTTTTTATTTCTACTCCTTTTTATTCCTGCATAGTACTCCATTGTATAGATAGATCTACCCCAATTGGACTGTTCATTTACCTTGTCACTAATTTATTGGGAAAATGATGCAGAGAAAACGTGGACACCCAGCCTGAGATCAGGTGGATGGATGGTGCATACTACTATCCACGTCAAAGATCTTTCTTGGAACCAATGGAGCCAGGCCCCTGTGTGACCCAACAGTTGCATTTCAATGGACAGTATATGTTTCCCTTCAAGATAAAGTAACTTTAAAACATACACATCAAAATAACTTTAAAAATGGCTTTGAAGTTAACCCTGGATTAAGATAAAACTTCTCTTTATGGTTTTGTAAAGTCTCAGCAGAGATTTCCCACACTGCCAGATGGGTTAGGTTATCTCCACAGCCGGGAGATGGATATTTGTTGCACTTTGATCCTTCAGAGCACAGAAAAACAGGCTCTGTGCTCTCAGAGACCCTTTCGTGAGACCCAGGGGACAGGTGACTGAGGACTAGATGCCTCTGCTAACACCTGATCCACCCCGGCCATGCCTTCCAGATGGTGTCTGCCAGCTTCGCCTCCTCTGTGGCTTCAGGCCCCCCCACCCACCCCAGCGTTGCAAATAAAACCAACTCACACGACGAGTGGCCTGTTCTGCTGTCCTGCTGAATCTTCACGTCTCCTAGCAGGCCGAGAGCCGAGAGTCGTAGTGGCTCAGTTCCCTGCTTCCTGCAGTAAATCAGTGGCCGTGATCAGATCAAGGCGAGGGTGAGAGGGGCGATGTGTGTACAGATGGACTGATGGAGTCTGTGAAACCTGGTGTGAGAAAACTAAGTACACGAGGTGCGTTTACTGAGCACGTGGGATCGTGTGCAAGGCAGAGAGAAGTGTGCAAAGGCCTCGCAGGAAGAAGTGATGTTATCCAGTGGCGAACTGGGTGGCCAGCTGCTGCTCGTCGGTCAGTGGGGTTGAAGTTAATGAATCTTATGATTTATTACGATGGATTTTCCACTTGATTACAGACTGTGGGTACAGGGATTGTGTTTTATTCTTTTCTGTGTTCTCTCACAGATAAAAATGATAAATGGATATTTGATCAGAGGATGGGTGTGGGTGGGTGACTTAGTGGAGAATGTTCTGAGGAATAATCTACTTTGAG